CCATCACACAGCAGGGCCGGTGCCCTTGGAATTTTGACAGGGCTCCCATGTCTCACTGGACTCCCAGGTCCCACCCCCCACTCAGCCACCAAGGGGTCCAATGCATATTGGCTGAGATAAACTAAGTCTTCTTCTAAAACTAGAGGGCCCAGGAAGGCAGGGAGAACCCGACCTGCTGCCCTCCAGAGAAACACCACAAAGAAGCGAGCTCAAGCTTCCCCCGACAGAAGACATCGGGGAAGAGGCAGGCAGCATCCCCTGGCAGCGGGCACCCTACCCTTGAGGGTGCGTGGGCTCACTGGCTGGGAAGACCTGGGTTCTCCATCTTCCCGTGGTGCCTGAGGAGGGGGCCTGTGTCACAGTAGGGGGAAGGGGCTGTGTTTGCTCACCCAGAAACCTATGAGGGAGAGAGAAGCATGGACAAGTATCCTAGGGCAGTTGTGAGGGGACTGGGGCTGGGCAGGAGCTCGTGTGCTCCATAGCCTGGGATTCCCATCTGATCACAAGGCCTGAGCTGCCAGGGTATGTCAGAAAGAAGGACCGGCCCACAGAGGTGTCCTGGGTGCCAGTGGTATCTAAAGCACAGGGCAGTGGCTCCCCAGCCCACAGTCAGTCACTAAGAGTCCCGGACACCTGTCCCAGCCTGCAGGTGCCAGCCACGCGGAGGCAGTGGGGTAGTGGGTGGGGAGTGGTCTCGGCTCACCTCCCCACCCTCCTTAAGGAGCTGCAGGTTCTGTGTGATCACAGCTTTGGTGCACTCAGAGCCCACCACCGCCTGCCCCTTCCCGTCCATCACCCTGCCGCGCCCTCATCTGGAGCAGACTGATCAGCAGTGTCAGTGGCTCCACAGACCCAACCACACACAGAGACGCTCAGCTGGCGGCAGCCACTGCATCTCCACTTAACAGGACAGGCTGAGCCTGAGGCTGCCGTTGATTTTGCTTGCTGCCATGGGCAGAGAGGACTCTCAGCCCCAGAGGTAGCACTTGGGAACCCTTGTTTATCCCGTGGTGGTGAACCGGGCCTGTGGGGGGTGGCAGGGCAGTGGATCTACCTGGCACAGAAGCTGTTCCAGGATATGAGTGTAACTCTCCCTCCCTGGCAGGACCCAGGCCATGCCACCACCTCCTTAGCAAACGCAGCTGATCCGAGGAAGGGCGAGTCCTGGAGACAGACAGGAACCTCCTGCCCAGCTTGCTTTCTGCCATCCTTCTGAGAGGCAGAGCAGACAAGCAACATTTTCCCATCCTGGGAGCCCCTGCCTGGAACAGCAGCTTCAGCAGGGGGTAAAAACTCACCAGCAAAGCCCCACCAACTCCCAGGCACCGCAGATACCACGGCTAAGCCCGGATATCTCCAGTGTAAAGAGGGGCATGTTTCCTCCCTGCTACGGAACATTCTAGGGCTTCCCTGGTGCCAGCCTGGCCCAAGGCATATAATGCCCTCCTTCCCCGGTCTCACTGTAGTCTAACCCAGAGGTCTTCTACTAGGGGCTGGAGGTGATTTCAACAGCAAGTAACAGTTGCGTGGCATATACAGTGTTGAGTTGTTTTTTTCCTTTTTTAAAAATGTGACCTAAGATTTAAAATCAGGTGGTTTCACATAAAACTAGATTTCCAGCTCATCATCAAAGATCAGAACACCTGGCAATTCAGGGCCACTGGCCAAGCGTCAGCTGGAGCTGAGAGGGGGCCCAAGCTCTGTAGTGAGCCGCAGGCCTCACCACTCCCTACTCCCTCCCCAGACACTGAAGTCAAGTGTGAGCGTGTATTTTGTATTGGGAAGTGCACTTCGTTTTTCCACAGGGTAAAAAAGAATCTCTATTGTTAGCCCATCAAAGTTGAGCACAATAGATTTGGAAGAGGGTATCACATAATGTTTCTCCAGTTTCTTTGTTCGTTTAAGGTCCTGGGAGTACCGGGACCCCCTGTTTATAACCAAAGATCCAGTGGCTCTGCCGGGCTGTGTCCGGAAGACACGCAGCTGTCTCTCAATGCTCCCTTGCGTTTGTACTCGAGTCCCGGTCTCCTGATCCGCCTGTGGGGATCTGCTCGCAAGCCTCATCTTTGGTGCCTTGTTATTCTTATCTGGAGTGCTTCGGAGGATAGTGCCTCCAACGCCGGCCTCCGAGGGAAGCCCTATGTGTCTATTGTAGGGAGTAGGCCCGCGCTGGCACAGATTCCGATGGCACAGGGAGACCCCGCGTGGCCATCTAGGTGTAGACCGCCGTTGCACTATGGAGGACCCCGACACAGGAGAGAGCGCCGTGGCACAGATAGGTCTCGTGGCACAGGGATACCCCGTCGAGCACCAGATAGATTCCTCGTGGTGCACAGGGAGACACCGTGTGGCATGGAGAACAAGTCCGGTACACCTCTGTCTCACGGAGATGCAGAGCTGGACACCACTGTCCACGAGACAGCAAAGGCTGGTATGCACTCTACGTCCTGAGACCATAGCTGGACGATTCATTCCAACGGAGAGCTAAGCCAGACACTCACTCTGCTAGAGCAGAGCCAGTTATCTCTATCTCTAGGTCGGTTACTCCTAGTGGATCAGCTCAAGCCGGACACTTCATTTCCTACTGGATCTCTTCACTCTACCAGAGGTACAGGCCAGGTTCCTCGTACAACAGGATTAGCGATGGGAACGACACCCCCACCCTTCTTAGTATTATCCATGTCTCCCCAACTCTCTCCTCTGGTGTGCAAATGTGGACTCTCATCCAGGGTCGAAGCAGAGGATGGGGCTCCTGCTCTTCAGAGCTCCGCCAGCCCAGCTACCAGGAAGGGGGCGTCCCGACCACGAAGCCGCATCGGCGCTTCGAATGCCCCACATCAGGTCTGTGTGTTGAGGGTGTAACTGGGCTTAAGGCACATGTCAATGTAGAATGAGTCTATGACAGTTAGTGTGGCTCAACAGGTATGCCTGATATGATATGTTGTGTGCCAAGATAACCTCTTGAGGCTGTTAGCCACTCTTCCTTGTGGCGCAGCAAGTCCCCACCGCTCCCTGCTGCCTCTCATAACTTCTCTCAGCATCCTTATATGCTCGTTGGCTCTGTCTACTTACTTGGTTTGCCTCTCATTCTGATGAAAATTCACTGAATGCACTTCAATTCAAGAACGATCCATTAGCGGCAGTCGGCGCAGTGGCTCATGCCGTATAAGTCTCAGCATGTTTTGGTAGGCCGAGGCATGGTGAAGATCAGATTCTGAGTCAGGAGTTCAAGAAACCAGCCTGGGGCAACGACAGTGAAACCCGTCTCTTTATTTATTCAAACACAAACATATTAGCAGGGATGCAGTGCATGCACCTGTAATCGACCTTAGTATGGATGCTGGTATGCGTTAATGAGAAGTGTTCGCTTGACCAGTGACCGAGTTGCAGGGAGCTGTGTGTATAGTCTACGCACTGTACTCTATGGGTCTGGTGGTGAACCAGTGTGGAGGAGCTCCGTCTCAAAAAAGAAAATGATCCACAAAAAAACAAAAATAAAACGTAGCTACATCTTTGGAATACATGCTCTGTGCCACTTGGCCTTGGTTTTACACATCTGTTAGAAGGGCAAGCAGACTGGTCAACTCTGGCTACAGAAAACTAGACAAGAAAACCCTCGCCACAAGCCAAAGGCAGCCACCCTTCCACGATCCCTGCGGATAAGGACCAAGCTCAGCCCCAGGCATCGTGGCCGGACGTTCGGAATGCGGCGAGGTGTGGCTCATGCTCCTGACAACAGCCTCCTTTCCCTCATGGGACTTTTCTTAGGCTGTAGGAAAGCGGCTGTCTCACAGCAGACACTGGGACCCCGCCCCCAGCCCGTGATGGCTGGTCTCAATGCCTTATGGGTCTCGACCTCTGGCAGCCTGGGAAAGGGAAGGCGGGCAGCTCTGGGGAGGGGCTAGAGGATGCTAGTACCCGCCTAGGAAAACCTCAGGGTCCCCTTATCCCAGCTCGTGCTATTCTTGGCCTCTGTCACTCTCGCCCGGCTCCCCCAGCCACTGAGGCCCCCAGCAAGGAAATGCCTCTACTGACTCCAATCCAGCAGCCATCAAAGTGCCCACTGCCTCCAACCGCCTCCTCCGTGTGGTGCTCCCAGCATCTGCTCTGAGACGATGCTTCAAGAGCCCCGACGCAAAACAAATTCTCCCAAACACTGAGCGCCCAGGATCCCCCTTTCAAAAGGTGTGCCACTGAGCCTCTCATCTCTACCATTATTTACTGGATATTTTTTCAAACCAACTCCTTTTCCTCTAGCTCGGAGGAAAAAGCAAACTTTTTCTATGAAGGACCAGATAGTAAACATTTGAGACCCTGTAGGCCATACACTTTTGGTCACAACTATGCAACTCCACCAGAGCAGCAAGGATGCTGCCATAGTCATATGTAAACAAACAGGCATGTCTGTGTTCCAATAAAACTTTATGCACAAGAACAGACAGTGGGCCGGATTAGCCCCAGAGTCCCAGTCTGCCAGCCCCTGCTCTAGTGTAAATAATCTTTCAGTCTCATTCCAAGCAACGGCATCTGAAAACACGGCGAGCTGAAGTACTGGCTATTTTTTCTTTCAAGTATGCATTAAGATAAACACACACAACCATTAACATTTTAAACACGTGAAGTTTGGGAACTACCCCGAGTCATCCTGGGAAGCCCTTACTTTTGGAATGTGGCCTTTGTACGCACAGAGATCACAGGTCACCCAATCAGGAGTCTAGGATTTTGCCGACTGAGGAGGCCCGTGGTTGTTTCCCCCCAGCTCTTTTCCTGGCTACTAGGGGAGGCTCAAGATAGCCCAGCAGGGTGAGCACCCCAGAGAGGGTCTCCCCTCACTTGCTGCCACCACAGAGGGGAGCCTACACTCACACTGCCAGTGGCCAAGCGACAACTCATGGAGACGGTCACTGCCAGCCATGCGGGGTGCTGGCCACCAAGCAAGTGGCTGCTCAGCATGCAGGGAGCCAGACCCCAAGGACAGCCACCCCCACCTTGCCTCTTACCTGGCTCTTGCCGCGGCGCCGATAGCTCCGTCTCACCAGACTCTTATAGTTCTCATTCTTCTTGGTCAGGTAGTAATAGAGGACGCACTCAGCCACCGTCTGTGGGACAGAGAAAGAGGACACTGAGCAGGGTACAGCGCAGGCATTCAGGGCAGGAGCCAGGAGCTCACATCCCGGGCTCATATCCTGCCTCCTCCACGTACCGGCTGGGTGACCTCGGGCAGATGACCTAACCTCTGTGTCTCAGTTTTCTCATCTGTAAAATGGGAATGCTAATTGTACATACTTCACAGAGTTATCACAAAGATCAGATCAGTTAACACGTAGGTAAAGTACTTGGGACGAGGCCTGGCCCAGAGTAAACATGATGGAAGTCTTTCCTGTTATCACAATCACTGCTGTTGCTATGGTTAATGACAGCGCTGATGTCGCTATATGTCACCCCCAGCCCTTATGGGAAACAAGGACTGCAGCCCACAGCTGGGCAAACTCAAAGCCTTCCCCAAACACAGGTCTGGGTTCTCCTTTCCCTGACTTCAGCCTTCTCTTCCCTGATATTCGGGGTCCTGAACAGCCTCTTCCAAGCCTTGCGCGTAGGGACCACCCCACGCCCCACATGCCTCTTCCTGGGTTTCTTTCTTTTCTCTGCCTCGGTCTTTTCCATGTAGATTGGGTCTGAAAGCCAGAGCAACCAGCCCTCTATGAACCCCGGCCAAATGGGACCAGTAAAAGGGGCAGCCTCAGAAAGTGATGCCACGATGCCCCCACCTGCGGGCATGAAGCCCAGTTCGCCAATGCCCGCAGCCGTTCCCCTTACAACATAAAATGTTTCTGCGATGCTCTGGCCGGTGTCAAGCCAGGACCCCACCTCCAAGGGGCATTCTGTGAGGCCTCTGAGCTGGGCCTCAAACTTCACTGCCCTCAACAGAAAGCCCCCAGCTGGCAGCCTCCTGCCAAGTACAACCGCCAGGGGGGCTCCTAGGCAGCCCCAGGCTAAACCCGGCCCACAAACAGGACCCACACAGCAATTGAGAAAGACGTTTTATAATCAGATGCCAGTAATTGCAATTCAGGGGATGTGGGTGCCCGACTTCTCCTTTAACAATTCAGGAGAGCTCCTTCCTGTGCTCAGCAATGGCAGCCAGGCTCTGGACAGCAGCTGCCCCCGCGGGCGGGCACAGACTGGCTGGTCCACCTGGCTCCCAGCCAGACGTCAGCCTCACTCACTGTCAAGACCCGCCTGCCCCTGCCGACCTCTCCGTCGGCAGCTCCTGCTCCAGACCCCTCTGGAAGCTCTGCTGAAGCCTCGTTCTGGGCTGCCTCCCAGCCAAAGAACACCGTGAAGTTTACTCCCCAGCACAGAGACTTCTAATCCCCTCGTCCCGAAGGAGGATTGCTCAATGGCCAGTTTCTGAAATGCCCTGCTTCCATCCCGGGGAGCCCTAACCTAGAGTCTGCCGTGCCGTCCACTCCCTGAGGGAGACGTAGTCACTCAGAAGATGGGCTATTTATAGGGCTTGTTTCTCCACACTGGTTTTTCAGGCATGGAGAGATTTTTCCCCACACTGCTCCGTCTCTCTCCTTCTACGGTTATCAGCTCACGAGGGGCAGGCGCTGGGAACAGCTGTCCTTTAAAATAAGTGCCTCATCCTCCTGGCCTCCCTCCTACAGCCAGGAAGCCCAAGCAGGGTGTCCACCAAGCTGCGGCGGGCAGGCCCCCATCTCTGAGCAACGGGATTCAGGGAAATGCTGCTTAAGACACACGGATGGCAGCCTTTCTCCTCTGACCCCCAGGATGCTGGGGGAAGACCCAGGGGCCACGTCCAACACACAGCCTCATCCAGCCAACTTCTCCCACCTGTAGCCTCTCCAGGCACAGTCCAGCCAGCCTTGTGGGTGCAAAACAACGGCTTTACCATTCTCTGGGGACACTGTGTCTACCAGCCAACTGGAGCTGCTCCAGGCCTGGGCTTGACACAAAGTGGGCTTTAGGCCTCAGTTCCACACAAAGGTTTGTCCAAAGAAGATGGGGACTTGTAGGTCACACATCTGGCTTGGCATTAGGGGTGTCAGAAAGCAGTCAGTGACCCTCAGAAGGACCTAGAAAAACTGGTCCTCCAGTCCCTCTGAGGCACGCCACTCCTGCCTATGAAGACTTCACTGGGATGCCAGGCATGGCAGTGCTTCCAGAATCCATCCCCAGTATGCAAGGACGCTCCACACGGCCTTTGAGGAGCTGGCAGGAGACCCGGTCGGGCACGGGGGCTCTGGGAAGCCTGGCCGTGCAGTTCTCCCCGGGGTTCCCAGGGTTCCCAGGTGCTCAGCAACCTGAGGCTCCTCCTCCAAGGGCCCAAGAGGCCAGGGCGGGGCCTGCACTGATCTATCTCCCAGATGGAAGGAAGAGAGGGAGGGAAGGAGGGAGGAGGGGAGCATGGCCCCCGGAGGAAGGGGCCAAACAGGCTAGGGCCTCGTAGGCAGGGAGGGAGGGCCTCCACCCTGAGTCCACGCAGCTGCCCACGGAGGTGGAGACCGAAGGGGTATGGGGCGGGCAGCGACTCACCTTCCTCTCCAGGAATGATGCGATCAGGCCAAAGTTCTTGGGATGCTGCATGAACCTGTGGGACGAGAAGGGCGGGCGTGAGACCTGGCCGAGGGGGGCTTCCCTGCAGGGCGGCCGATCGGCTCCCAGGCGCCTGCCATCCCCACTGGCCCGGCCTGGCGGGCACCGCCCCACTCGGAGCAATTAAGCCCAGGGGGGTGTGGGAAGGGCTGCTGCAGCAGACGGGAGGGGTGGGGACCCAGGGGTAAGAGAGGGCGTTCCTTGGAGTGAGTCACTGGCTTTAGCGCCTTTGAAAATATATTTGTTTGTCCTGCTGGAGGCGGCTTCCAGGAAAAATGAGGACATGACATGCAGCTCTTTGGTGGGGTTCCCCCCCCTTTAAAATCCGCTTTTGTTTCTCTCTCCAGCTGGATCTGGGAAGCATGGCCTCACCCGGCCCACACAGGGTCTGCTTGGGAACATGGCAGGGACCCGCCAGCGGGGTCACGGCTCACCAGGCTGCTGGGCCTCCCCAGGAGAGGAGAGCTGGGAGCAGAGGCTCCGAGTGCCCATGGGGCAGCGGGAGGGGGTTGGCCAACCAAGGAGGCAGCAAGTATGGACTTAAGTCAGAGGCTGGTGGCGGGGCGCTGGCACTGTCCCAACTGGCTTCCTGCGTAGCCAGGAGAATTACTGGGAAACCACTGGGCCAGGCTGAAATGCGAGGGCCAAAGGAGCGGGAGCATGGTGGGGGCAGGGATGTGGGTCAAGGCCTGCTCCACCCCAGGGGTGCTGGGTGGGGTCCATGGCCCCAGGCCCAGGCGTCCCGGCGACGTGCCACAGCCGCACGGCCTTCGCGGGGAAAGCAGTGGCCGCCAGCGAGGCTGGACTGTGGGCTCCCACGGAGGGAGGCTGAGTGAGCACCGGTGCCCGACCTGCCTGGCCCTCCAGATGGCTGGGCAGGAGGCTAGCAGGCCCCGCGCCTGCTTCCCAGCCAGACACCCGAGGATCCTGAACAGTCTCTCTCTCCTCCCAGTGGAAGCAGCGCGGTGAGGAATGGCAGGCTTCCCTGGCCTGGGATCCCACCTCGGGCGGCTGGCAAGGCCGGAGCCATCCTAAAGCCCTTCTCTTCCAGATAGGGAGAGTCCTTCCCACTCTGCTCCCTCTCCTTGTCCCAGTGACATTTCGTTCCTTGCAAACCCCTCCCACGGGGTTTCCCCAGGCACAGTGGGGGCTCCCAAGAGACCAGGAATCCAACTTGGGAATCTCCTAGGTCACCTGTTCCCCTCCCCCCGACCTCACTTGCACCCCCTGAAGACGTTTATTAGAAGTTTCCTATGCCCTGCACACCTCACAACAGCTGACTAAGGAAGGCCCTGTTGCTCTACCCATTTTACAGATAAGGAAATCAAGGTTCAGAGGGGGAATGGTCACATGGCCAGCACATGGTGGAGCCCCATGCTGTCAGCAGGTGATTTTCAAAGCCCCGAGTGCTATCAATTCCTCCGCACATGAGACCTCAAACCGAGCCCACAGTCCTGGAGGGATGCAGGCGGCCAAGCTGTGGCTCAACCAGGCCGGCCAGCAGACAGCAGCCCAGCCTGCGTCCCCCACCCTTCGGCTACCGAATTAACAGAGGGTGAAATTATCAGACCTGCAGAGCCACATGAGATCTTCCGAAAGGCTGGAGCCACAGAAAGCACCCCAGAACACCAGTTTTTGTATTTCAGAAAAAATACATACACTAAAACATCATGCCTACCAGAAGGAATTTGAATATCGAACGCAACAGTAATTCAGTAATTCTTAACACCTATGACTGTCCCACCATCACCTCCCTCATTCAAAACTGTAAAAAGCATGCGACGGAGACTTCAATTTGATGTAGAAAGATCATGCCTGCTATGGTGAGGCTGCAGGCACGAGCCACTAAGTAACCGAGTATTCCTGCTCAGGGACCAAGGCTATTTCCTGCGGAGGACCACTGATCCTGCGCTGTGGGCACCCAAGGGCTCATTACCCCACCCCTCTATTTTTATGGACGTTTCAACATTTCCGTAATCAAAAGCTACTCTTAAAAAATGATTTCCATCAAAGACCCTCCTGGATAGCCACTGTGTCCTTGTCCTTTCCGAGTTCGGTATCTGCACGTGCTAGTCCGCCCGCCCCTGCTGGGAATCCAGAGTCACCCCATCCCTCAGGTCCTGCCTGGCACCTCTTTTGAGTCCACAACTGTGGACCAAAGCCCAGGGCACTGGGGAAGGAGTGTCATTGCTTTGGCGGAAGCTCTTGTCTGGAGGCAGGGTCTTCCCCAAGTCAGCTCAGTGGCCTGCTGGGTGAACGTCGGGCAGTGACAGAGTAAAGTCTCTTCCCTGCGTCCCCTCCTGCCCAAGCACTGAGACCTCCGTCCACACCTCAGTTTCCCACTCTCCTGCCTCCCAGAGGTCTGAGGTCCTGAGGAGGTGCTCTATGTCCTGGGCAGGGAACCCAGCGCTTTACGGGCAAGTGATTATAGCAGGCTTTCCACCCCGCAGGCCACATGCGGCCCAGGATGGCTTTAAACGCGGCCCAATACACATTCGTACACTTTCTTAAAACCTTATGAGTTTTTTTGTGATTTTGTTTAGCTCATCAGCTATCATTAATGTTAGCGTATTTTCTGTGTGGCACAAGACATTTCTTTTTCCAGTGTGGCCCGGGGAAGCCAAAAGATTAGACTCCCCGGAATTATAGCACACTGTTCCCAAGGTGTGGGGTGGTTCAGCAGGGCCCACCATCTCCTCTGGGGACCCTGGGCCAGGAATGGAGGCCTCCTTCTGCCTGGATGTCACATCACAGATCCTCACTGTGGTGTCTGGTCCCCTCAGACACAGCTTTCGAGAGGACTCAATTCCCGTCTCTGCTCTGCACAGCCCTACTCCCTGGCCCCATTCGCAAACCCTTCCCCACACAGCCTCTCCATTCCAGCTGGGGGAGTCTGAACCCTGCCTCCGCAGTGTGCATGCTGTGTGGCCTTTGTGCACTGTCTGAACCTCTATGAGCCTCCGTGTCATCACCTGTGTACTGGGGTGGGCCTGGCTGAGCTGTCATAAGGGACAGGAGGGGGAAATGCATGAAGCCGACAAGACACAGGCACAGTGATGGGATCATGAACCCACTCAGCCAGCAGCTGCTGTCAAAGAGAAAACAAAATAGAAACCACCAAAAAGCCACTGGCCAGCCGCAGCCCTGCCGAAGGCTCAGGCCCAGCCTCTAAGTCCTTCCTGCCTTGTTCTTCCGACTCACAGCGCCCCGTCTTACGTACAGCTGCCCTTAAGCTTTGTGCCAGGTTGAAGTGTGTCCTCGGAAAATTCATGGCCGCCCAGAACCTCAGAACGTGGCCTTATTTGGAAACATGGTCTTTGCAGATGTAATTAAAGTAAGGTTGTATTGGGTTAGGCTAGACCCTAAATTCAGTGTGACTGGTGTCCTTACAGGAAGAGGAGAAGCGCAGAGACAAAGGTCATGTGGGGTCGGAGGCAGAGCGTGGAGGGATGCATCTAGAAGCCCTGGAAGGCCAAGGATGCTGGCAGCACCAGAGGCTGGGGAGAGGCCGGGACAGGCTCTCCCTTACGGCCCCCAGAAAGAACCAAACCCACCGACACCAGGATTTGGACTTCCGGCCTCCAGAACCAGGAGAGAGTAAATCCCTGCGGCTTTAAGCACCCCCTGGCGTGTTCATTTGTGGCGGCTGCCCCAGAGACAGAGCACGCCTCAACAGGATGGGTTTCTGGGATGGGGAGCGGGGCGGGAGGCCAGGCCAGGTGATGGAGGGACTCACTTCTCCCGGAAGGTCTCCTTCTCCTGCTCGCTCCACATGTTCATGACCTGGCGGTCTTTGTACACCTTCATGGGGTCGGCCATGAGCCCGTTCATGTTGATGAACTTGATGCGCTGCTGGTCGGCGTCGTACAGCATGGGCGGGATCACGGCCAGCTGGCGCATCTGCTTCTCCAGGTTCTGCAGGGAAACGGAGGGCAGGGTCAGAGCGCCTGGGGGCGAGGTGCTCCGGCCAGCGCAGGGGACCCAGGGAAGGCACAGAGGGGACCGATGTTCTGCGCCTGGGTAGGGAAAATGCAAAACCGACGAGAAGGAGAATGATGAGTTTAAAAATAATAAGAGCTCATGCTGGGGGAAGGGAGAATGTAAAGGCCTCCCCGACAGGTTTATGGTGGGCAGGACTGTAGATTCAATGCAGAGAGCAGCAGCTGCCTTCTCTGCAGTGGGAGGGGAACCATGAATCTTCCCTTTGGAAACGCAAGCGCCATAAAGCACTGCGGGAAGGATGCTCAGCCCAGCTGGGCCCAGGGAGCCCGGGAGACAGGACGGCCTTCCAGGTTCGGCAGTCAAGAGTGGGCCCTGGGGTCCAGCTGGCCCTACGGCATGCAGGCAGCCCAGGGGCGCAGAGAGGGTCGGCCGCCTCGCTGGTGGAGAGAAGCCTTTCCTTCCCCCACACCCCACGCCCCCTCCCAGCATCCCGCTCCTTCAAAGGGCCCACCTGGGATCTGGCCTACCCAGCCCTGCATGCGGCAGCAGTCAGGCGGCCGCTCCTCTAATGCACTGGGATGACTATTAAGAGGCTCTGAGCCGCCACTCAGCTGGGCTCACTTCCCCAAATCTCGCAGCCAGCCAATTACTGGCGATTAATTACCCATCTCCGGAGGCAAGCGAGGGCTCCGCGAAGCCAAGGTCAGCCAGTTCAAACGATCCAGCTGCCTGGCGGCCCACATCCAACCTCTTCACTCGAGGTGCAGGACTCCCAGCCAGGGGCCGGGTGCGAGGCACAGCCCTGACCCCGGGGTGGGACAGGGTTCCCCCAAGAGGCCGGTGTCTGTCTCCCAGAACTTTGGAGCTGTACCCCACACCCCGATACAGAACGCTGACCTTCCTCAGATGTCTCAGGGATGTAATAACAGCAGACCCCCAGCAGAGTCCTCCCTGGCAGGACCTCTGCTCCGCCCTCCCACAGCTGCCTTCCTGTCCTTCCCATGCCGGCCGTGTGTTCTGACCGCAGGAAGCTCCCAGAAGGATGGGAAGTGCCTGTCCTCCGGCCCAGACCCTTCCCGTGCACACTCCCGGGGAACCTCAGGTCACCCCAAGCTGGCGGGGAAGTTTCTGTCCCGAATTCCACTTCCACCCTTCACCCCTGGACACAGCATCCTTGATGTCCCTGAGGACTCTGGTGACTGCATTCCCATGTGGCCAGTGTGTGTGTGTGTGTACATGCAACAATCAGCCCAGGTGCCACAGCCTTGGCCATCAGGTAAAGAATGCAGAGGAGAGGGCCACCGGCCTCCTCCTTCCAGTGCAGACTAAACCCACGTCCAGCCTCTCTGCGGGACGTCCACAAGTGCAGAGCATCGGTGAGACGGGGGCTAAAACGGCCCAGCTCTGGTGCCCAGCCTTCGAGGGCCAGGCCCTGTGACTGTGCAATGGGATGGCTTTCTGAGCTCTGTTTTCTGTCAACTGGATGTTGTTGTAAACAAAAACGTACCACAAGAAGTTTTAAAATTAAAAATTATGTTTTAATGGCCAGATTCATCTTTGGATTGCCTGTTTCAGAATCATGTGGGTGGCTGGGTAAAAATTCGGATTCCTGGGCTCTGCCCCAGACCAGCTGAATTAGAATCTCTGGTGAGAAACTGCAACTTAAACCAGCCGCCCCCTCCCTGGGGCCCCTTCCATCTGTCTAATCTGAGCATCAGCATCTCAGGGCAGCACGTTCTGTTGTCCAACAGAGCGCTCTGCAGCCAGGGAGGTGTTCGCTGTCTGCCCCGCCCAGGAGGGGAGCCGCCAACCACAAGCGGCTGTCGAGCTCTTGAGATGTGTCAGATGCAACCGAGGAACTGAATTGCTAATTTTATCCCATTTTAATTAATTTTGATTTCAATAGCCATGCGTGGCTCTGCTGCGCTGAGCTGAAGGGCTATAATCTCCCATCTGGACAAAAGCTCTCCCCAGACAAAAGTCCCCAGAAGGAAGAAACGTGCCGTGGCTGCTTCATGTCTGCCGTGGTGTTGGGAGCAAGGGGTAGTGTCATCATGGATACCTGACCCACAGGACCCAGGAGGGACAGGCTGATGCCAACTTCCTCCCCAGGAGAAAAGGTTGCCCCTCTGCTTCCTGGCCATCTGTGGGCCCCCATGACGGCAACCAGGGTCACCTCGGCTGACCCCAGGGTGTCCTGGTACCCCAAAGAGGCCTGAGGGGAAACCAGCCCTGCTCCAGCCAGGAGGGCTGAGGTTCCTGTGAGAAGGTCGTGGCTGTGTGGACAGACGGCGTGCTGGGAACTTACCGGCCTGCACCATGCTCCCCCCACCCCGCCAGGCTCTGGGCCCCGGAAGGCTGACCCTGGAACCCACAGGTACTCCTGCCCCTTGAGTTTCTGGTTGGACTCAGCCAATGGGAAGTTCCAAAAGGAGGCAGGAGATAGTAAGAGTGAGAGGCAGGGTCCTCGTCCCCCAACCCCCTCCGTGCTGTGGCATCTGGATCGGGGAGCGCTGGGGCCCTCCCTGCAGGGGGTCCTGCCACACCCCATCTCGGACACATTAACACCCCTCTCTCTGCTCACCCCTGCAGGCCTGGGACGGGCCGTGGCTTCCTGAGGCTTCTACTCCTGGGTACCTCGGTACCCACCTTGATTCTGCGGTGGCAAGCCCCTTGATGTAAACCACCCGGGAGGCGGTTTCTGGCTAGGGCCTCTGCACCCTCACGGGGGATGCCAGGGAAAAGGAGCTGAGGCCGGAGTCAGGGCCTGGACTCACCTCCTGCTCTGAGAGGCCGTCGATGATCTCCGACACCTCGTGCTCGCTGCGGGCGGCTGACATGGACAGCCCACTGCCCCGCTGGCCCACCCTGCTGGGGACCAAGGGGACACACTCAGGACCAGCCTTTTGGTGGTCGGGGACACTAGCAGGCCCCTGTGGCGCAGCCCTGAGCCCACGCCCTCCCCAGAGAAGAAGGGCGGGCAGCAGCAGAGGGGCTGGCCCCACACCAGGAGTCCTGGGGAGGCGTGGAGCCCCCACCCCAACCCAGCATGGCCAAACCCTGTGACACGGGCCGCTCACTCGCTTCCTCTCTCCTAAAATACCCTGAAAAGCCCAGCCACAAAGATCTGGGTTCAAAGCTCCGCTCTGCCTCTTTGGCCCTGGGGCAAAGTGTTTCTCTCTGTGCCTCAGTTTCCTCCCCTGTCACACGAGGATTCAAAAGTGGCACCCGGCTGTCTAGAGCTGTTGGGAGGAACTTAATGAGACATGGCTTGTGAGTTCAGTTAAGGGTGAAAGCTGTTGTTATTATCACCAATGAATCGTCTTGTCTGTGCATCCAAAAAAAAATGGCCATAGAACCACAGCTGCTTGTCACCAGGTACCTCTCACACAGGGTCCACCAAGCCCTCACAGCCACTGGGGGAGGCTGGCAGCCTGGTCTCTTAGCCACATCTCTCCCCTTTGTCCCACACCGGGGATCTCAAACTCAACTGCCTTCAGGGGTCATGCAGGCCACAGAAATAGGAGTGCTTGCCCCCAAAACGTATTTAAGCTCCAAGTAAGTGTTAGGCCAAAGACGCTCCACGGGACACATGCCAGGGTCTGGTAGGGCCCCGGCTACTGGCCTGAGAAGCTGCTGCACTGTTCTGTTCCTTCCTGGCCAGGTCACCTCTGCTGAGGATGCCTGGAGCTGACCCCGGGCCCTGACATGGGGGGCACTGGGCTCGGGCCCCGCTCACCTCTGCATGCGCTCCTGCAGCTCACGCTGCTTGCGAATCTCGGGGAACTGCTTCTCGTAGTACTCGCGCACCTTGCTCTCCTTGGCCCGCCGCCGGGGGTTGTTCTCGATGCGCTCCACCTTCTTCTCCCAGGCCTCCATGAGCTGGTCATAGCGCTGGCAGAACTTCTGCTCCTGGGAGAGCGCGGGGGAGCACTGCAGAAGATGCTCCTGAACCTGGCACCCGCCGCCCCGCCCCTGCCCACTCACATGCAGGCAGACACACAGGCGCACGCACACACACACACTTCACACAGGCACACACACATGCAGTCACACAGACACACACACGTAGTCAGATACACACAGCCACACAGACATGTACATAGAGGCACACACACACAGTCAGATGCACACAGGCACACACACACAGAGGCACACACAAGTCACACAGGTGCACACGGACGCACACCCAAGTCACACAGGTGTACACACAAGTCACACAGGCACACACAAATGCAGTCACACAGACACACCTATACAGTCAGATACAGTCACACAGACATGCACATACAGGCAGGCACACACACATACAGTCAGATATGCACAGGCACACACAAGTCACACAGACACACATGCAGTCACACAGTCACATACACACATGCAGTCAGACACACACACAGTCACATGGACACAGTCACACAAGTAGACAGACACACTCACACAGACACAGTCACACAGACAGATACACAGGCAGACAGACACACAGATTTACAGTCACATAGGCAGACAGAGAGTCGTATAGGTAGATACACCGAGACAGACACACACACATATATACACAGGCACATGAGTCACACAGCCAGACACACAGATGGTCACACAGGCAGACACACAGTCAGTCACGCAGGCAGGCAGACACACACATGGTCATGCAGGCAGACATATGACAGACACACACACAGTCCATCACACAGGCAGGCAGACACACACACATGGTCATCCAGGCAGACATATGACAGACACACGCACCGTCACAGGCAGACAAACTGGTGCACACACAGGGTCACACAGGCAGACATGACGGACACACAGAGTCACACACGTAGACACACAACAGACACATACATGTCACACAGGCAAATGACAGAAAGACACACACATTGTTGCATCGATATCCAGCAGACGGGGGCCCCTGAAGAAAACCCACAGACCTCCCCTGGAGGACATGGTCACCTCCCTTCCTGGTGAACCGGCCACCCAGTCCTGGCCTCCTCTACAGAGGCCTGGTCCCAAACGGATGCTACCCGCCATATGTGGCTCAACTGAAATCACAAATCGAGTAAAATTTAAGAGTCGGTTTCTAGTTCTCCCCAGCCACACTCCCAGTGTCCAGCAGCCACATGTGGCTGGGGCTCCGGCCGCACCAGACAGCCCGGATGGAGCCCACTGCCACACCAAAGGAAGCTGCGCTGTACCGTATGGCGTGGGGGCCCGTCAGCCCCGGGGAGGGGCAGCCTCCAGAGAAAACCACATTGCAAGCAGTTCCTCATTCCCCAGCCTCACCCCAGGGACCAGCTGTGAGGACCTCAGCAGCTCCCAGAGAGGGGGCTCTGCCCTCCCTCCAGGACAAGGAAGTCCCTCTCCACATCTAACCACAGCACTGCCTGCTGCATGTCCTTTGAGAAGAGATCCCCAATCAGCCTGGAGCATAGCTGCCTGGCTTCCACATCTCCAAGGTGACTTGAGCAAGCGGCGGGGGGCCCACCCACACAACCCCAGTTATCCACCTCCAGCAGCTGGGGATGGACAGATGGTGTGGTCTGGGAGCCTCCGCAAACACCCACTTGGCGCTTCGGCACAATCAGAAAGCCCCTCTCTGGTCCTGGAGCCCAGACACCCCAGCCCCACCCCGCCCCATAGTTCAGCTTCTGACCAAGGGCAAGCTGTGCCCTCCATCCTCCACAGCCCCGTGACCACGACGGTCCCCACAGGGTGGTCAGGCTGGTGCTGAGTGGCCCAGAACCTGACCCCATGCATGCAGGCTGTGCCAGGAACCCACTGGAGATCGAGAGGCGGTTCTGGTGACAGACAAACACGTTCTGGGCAGTGGCTGCGGGCAGCCCCAGTGAGGGATGGGGACCGCGGGGACGGCAACATCCAGCCCATGCCACCTCGGCCCCTGTCCGAGAGGCCCCAGGCTCACGGGTGAGAAAAGCTC